TGTGATAAAGCAAAATGTATAAAGTTTGAAATATCATACTTTTACCCTGATAATTATTCAGGACTCAAGGTGGCCCAAATAGGTGCAATTTTTAATCCTTTAAAATTAGCCAGCCAGACTTATTGCTAAGGTAAATGTAAACTGTTTTAATTAAGATCTTTCAGCTTTCAAAGATATAATGTATCTATTTGTGTCAGGAATGATATTTCAAAATGAAAATGTAACAATATTGGGAATTAATAAACTTTCCTTTAAGTTAAAGAAGTAAAGACTGGTTTTATATGACTAATTTTTAGATAGAGTCTTTCCTTAAAACAAATGTTTGGCATCATGTTCTTAGATCAGCATATTTGCAGAAAGAACTATAAAATGCCCTTTTATGAAGAAATAGACAACCACAAGTAGCCATAACAGATGTAAACAACTTATTATCACACAGAAATGTACACACTTGGCTAAACAGAAATTTGTTAGAATGAAAGGGAACAGGAATACAGAAAGCCCAAACAGATCAACTATTTTACCCTGAATTTTTTTACTAACTTTGTATTTACATTATTATTCTTTTTAAAGCTCTTCTTGTAATTTTTAATACTGAATACTAAAAATGAAGTTATGTTTTGTAACGGTTTCACCCTGGAAAAACAGGAAAACCGTTCTTCCTGCCCTTCTGCTGAACTCTGTCCCAGCTCTTTGACCCTTGGATTTCTCAGTTTAGGCTGATAAGGTTTAACTGAGAAGGCTAAAGGGCCTTTGTCTAATTTCTGTATTTGCTGTTTCATACCTTGTCTTGCACAAGGAAGTATAGTAATTATTTTGCTTAAAAGATGTTCCCTTTTAGCCTATTAGCTTATATGAATAGTTACAAGTGTGCACCCTGGGGTCATACTTGCCTGGTTCAAATCTCACTTTCATTAGTTACATGAACTTGTGCAAATTACCAACCCCCAGCTTCTTCCTCTGTAAAGTAGCAACAAATAGCATTATTCACAGTAGTACTAGTGTGCAGATAAATGTGTAAAAACACTTAGAACAGTGCCAGGGTATAGAAGGCACTTGGAATTTCCAAAATCTAACCTAAATAAACATCCATGTGAAACAGGAAACGTTTCCTTGTCCCCTCTTGCAAAGCATGCAATAGGGGTGTAGCTCGATTCTCCAGTGCCCGGCTGCTCAAACCTCTAGGGAAGCACACAGACCAGGAGGCTATGGGGCTTCGACCCCAGGCAATGTCTAGGGGTGAATGTTTACCGCTGAAGCCCAGTGAGCATGTGTTACAGGGTGTTCTCTTAGTTTGTCGCCTATAGGCAGCTTGTATTAACCAACTCAGAACCTCTCCCTTGCCTCAAGGACAGAAGGATTTCTGTATCCTGGGTTCTTGCCTTGGTGTACCGGAGGAATTGGAACACATGTGGGCTTGATGAGTGCAAAGTTTTACTGAGTGGAAGGAGCTCTCTGCAGATGGGGGAGCTAGAAGGGAGATAGTTTTCCCTTGGAGTTGGGCTGCTCCGCTGGCTCTCCTCCAACTGCCCTGGCCAAACTCCTCTTCATCCCAACAGCTGGCCTGCCGGCCATCTGTTGGTGTGCTCTTCCATTGACATGCTCTCCTCAGCGTCCTCTCTACGTCCAGGTGCTTGTCGTCTTTCACCCGCCCCCCTCCTCTCCAAGTCCAGCTGCCTCTGTCTCTGCCTTGCTAGGGTCTCGGGTTTTTATGGGCCCAGGATGGGGGCATGGTAGGCCAGGGTGATCTTGGGAAATGCAACATTTGGGCAGGAGAGCAGGAGTGCCTGTCCTCACCTCGGTCGTGGGGGTGGAGGCCTAGTCAGAGACCACACCCTCCTCTGCCCAGCACTTCCCAGCACTCCTTTCCAGATCATTTAAAAGGACCACACCCTTCCCTTCCCAGTACTCCTGTATCACATGGATATTAACACCAACAAAGCTCTCTGATGTGCCAACAATGTCAAGAATTTAAACAGGATTGAATGAATCTTACTCATTCTGACCATTCCCTTCTAGCAGACAGGGCCTACCCCATCACTCCAAGAACTGAATACAAATAAAAGAACGGATACAGGTGTTATTCCTGACCCACCTTCTCATTAGCTCAGCGCTGGTGATCTTCCTCGTTTCCCTCCTTTGGACTTGCTCTGCCTTTGGGGTATCCTCTTTTGGATTTGGCCATTTGGCTTCTAGAGCCACTCCTTGAATTTCACATCTGCTTTGTGTTAGACTTGACTTTGTTATGGACCAACCCCCTCTCAGCTTGATAACTCAGCCTTTTTCTATGGCTATCAGTAGTGTCCCCTTTTCTCTGGTCACCAACTCACTGCCTGCCTACTCCCAGCCCTTGCCAAGTTCTGTGCCCCCCGCCCCCATGCTCTTGTATTTCCCTCTCAAAAGGGTTTTTCGAGTGCTGGCCTCAGCCTGTGGGGCCTCTCTCCCTGCTCTCCTGGGTCATTTCCATCTCTTTGTGCCCAGGAAGCTTTCCGGAGTCCCCACACCCACTCATGTCTTCCTGTGAGATGCTCTCATTTCCTTCCTGGCTCGGATGGCAGTCACCCAGCATGCGGCTGGGCATGCATTCTGTTAACCTCTGGCTCCTTGGATGCCATGTAGGTGCCACCAGGGCAGGCACTGGTGTGCTTTTGCCTGTCCTTATATTCCCAGCGCCGAGCACATGTTCACCGAGACAAGTTTGGAACGAGTGCCAGTCCTGGGGAAGTTACTTCCTTCTCCAAACCTCAGTGTGTCTATCAAACAGCTTTCCCTGCAGCCTGCCACAAGCCTACAAAATTCCCCAAACACCCGCAGGACGGATGGACTACCTGCCCTAGTGGTGTCACTTTTCAAATCGACTTCCCAAGCCCCAGAGGCAAGCGGCAGTGGGCTGGCAGCCTCCAGAGTCCCCAGAGTGAGACAGGGTCTTACTTTGCTGCCCAGGCTGGAGTACAGTGGTCTGATCATGGCTCACTGCAGCCTCGACCTCCCAGGCTCAAGCAATCCTTACACCTCAGCCTCCAGAGTAGCTGAGATTACAGGCACACACCACTACACTTGGTTACATTTTAAAATTTTTGGTAGAGATGGGGTCCTGCTATGTTGCCCAGGCTGGTCTTGAAACCCTGGGCTGGAGCCATCCTCCCGCCTCAGCCTCCTAAAGTCCCAAAATCGCCATCTTTACTTTCCTTTAATCTTTAATACAGGCTGGGCCAATGGGCACGGCCTCTTTTATGATCTTCTTAACATTGTATCTTCTCTACCTTACTTTAATGCAAGAGTGTACTATATAATACATATTAACCAAGCATGTGTAAACTGATTGTTCTCAGTGAGACGTCCAGTCCACAGCAGGCTATCAGAAGTTACATTTTTGGAAAGTCAAAAGTTATACATAGGTCTCTGACTGTGTGGGGTCAGCACCCTTAAGCCCTGTGTTGTTCAAGTGTCAACTATACTCATCCACATGCTTTGAAGCATGTAACGCCCATGCCCACCCTGTTTTTGAGGAAATCCAGCACTCCCTTGATACTGGACCTTAATCTTTTTTGCTTTTCCTTTTTTTTTGAGACAGAATCTTGCTCTGTTGCCAGGCTGGAGTGCAGTGGTGTGATCTTGGCTCACTGCAACTGCCGCCTCCAGGGTTCAAGCGATTCTCCTGCCTCAGCCTCCCGAGTATCTGGGACTACAGGTGCCCGCCGCCACGACCGGCTAATTTTCGGATTTTTAGTAGAGACGGGGTTTCACCATGTTGGCCAGGATGGTCTCAATCTCCTGACCTCATGATCCACCTACCTTGGCCTCCCAAAGTGCTGGGATTACAGGTGTGAGCCACCGCGCCCTGCCGATACTTCACCTCATCTAAACAGGACTGCCACGAAGACTTTACTCTGTAAAAGCAACAATTTCATCTTAACACAAAGTTTAAAATGGTTAAAGAAAAAATCCCAAGTGCTTTTTTTTCATTGGAAAATTCTCTGATGCTAACCAACTTAATTATTCTAACTACAAATAAATCATAATCTTTTCTTTAATCTTTCATCATTGATGTGTTGCAGGAAAGCCAGGCTGAGAGCTGCCCAGTTCCTGAGCCTGTCATTCCGGGAGAATACTGGAGGTTCAGACCTTGCTTTCCTGAGAAGCGCTTAGTGACACAGGGTCACTGCTTGCTGTGTTAACGAGTAAGTGAGGGAATAATGGACACCTGCAAGGTTAATACTGCCCTGGTGAAAGAATTTCATTTAAAATGAAATAAATCCATTTTAAATCCATCAAATTCATTCATAAAATGATTAATTCATTATAAAGTTAGCAATAGTAGTTTACATATATATTTAAAAATAGTACATATATCTAAAATTGTGTGTGTGTGTGTGTGTGTGTGTATCCTTTGTCTATTACTGAACTTGGCAAACAGAAATATATAGAAATAAAAGTAGACCTTACTGCTGTGTAAGTCAATAATGGATGCCGTTCCTTCCCTCCATTGTTAATTTAAAAATGATCGCTGCCCGAGTGCGGTGGCTCACTCCCACCTGTAATCTCAGCACTTTGGGAGGCTGAGGAGGGTGGATCACCTGAGGTTGGGAGTTTGAGACTAGCCTGACTAACATGGAGAAACCCTGTCTCTATTAAAAATACAAAATTAGCCAGGTGTGGTGGTGCATGCCTGTAATCCCAGCTACTTGGGAGGCTGAGGCAGGAGAATCACTTGAACCTGGAAAGCAGAGGTTGTGGTGAGCCGAGATTGCGCCACTGCACTCCAGCTTGGGCCCCAAGAGTGAGAAACCACGTAAAGTAACAACTGGGTACAGTAATTAAGCCAAATCTTTATAGTTCTCTCCCTATGAATGCTTCCACACCGTCTGCAAACTACAGTCTCATTTGCAAATGACCCAAGTAAGAACAAAATCTGCATATGAAACAGAGTATAGTGTGAATCGTATCTAATTTTAAATATTTTAATTTATATGCTTTCATGAATATAGGTCAATAAGAAATTCACTTTTCAGATTTTATTTCATTATAGAATATATTTGACAAGGATACATACAAACAGATTCATCTTCAATAATACACGGTGTTTACTGGGGACCTGCACTTCCGCAGCAGGCTGGTGATGTTGTCAAAAAGGTTTCTGAAAGTTGCACTTAATCAGCCACTCCAAACAACCAGAGTGTTCAGATAATTCCATTCCCTTACTTGCCTAGAATGAGTAAAAATCTTAATATTTGTTTTAAAGTCTGTTTATTACTCTTCTATTTAAAAATTTGAGATACATTCCCCAATGTAAACAATAAATTTCAATCTGTCACACAATCGAAATGGATAAGGCCTTCTTGACAAATTTCTGCCACCTCCATTCAACGCATCAGAGCTCAACCGTATTTCATATGGTAATGAGTCGCCCATGCACAAAAGACAGGAAAAGCAGCTGCCCTTGGTACCTGGTGGAGCCTTTGGAGACTTCTCTCTGCAGGTTTATGGTACACTCAAGAGAGAACTTTCTGAGTTGGTCTACTTGGTCGTAAAATACAAATATACAATGTCTGTAAGCGTCAGACAGTGAAGCCTAGTCTTACATATTTACTAAGAATTGCTAGAATCCCATACAAGTACAATATCATCTCATGCCAAGTAATACACAGAAGAAGGTGGCAAAACGTCTCACCGTTAATCAGGGCGTGTGAACAAGGGAGGGGGACGCAAGCCAGGTGGGCGTGAAGAGGCTGACCGCATCTGGTTAGGCAGGACGGTGTCACTGAAACCCGGAAACGCCCGTGTCCCCTGCTGAAATATTTAAGTCAGTTAGGAGTAGAAACTGCCTAGCATGAGAAGGACACAAGCCCTCTCGCATAGCCTCCCCAAGGGAGAAGGTCATGAAACCTTGGAAAATGTCACCAAATACAGCCTCATCCTTGCATCTCCTGATTCAGCTGTGCAAATCAGTTGTACTCACTCTCCTAAGTGGTATCTGCCCTTTTAGGACCAATTCATCAACAGCCGTCATGGTTCAGTGCCTCATCATCATAAATATGTGACAGCAAGCTAGGTGGTGAAACAGTGAAGACTATGTACAGTGTTTTAAAAGGCATTCTGTGACCATTTTTGAAGAGTTCATAGAAAAGTTACTAAGAGTACACCAGTTACTTCTGTTGATGTCGCTGTCATGTAAACGCTGGAACCTGGTTGATATTCAACGTGCACTGTGTCATATATTGTATAACAAAAGTGAACACGGAACCGCTGATCCGCTGTGGCACCGCTGACGCGCTAAGCTAAGGTAGCCGGCAGAGGGCACAGTTTTCCTGAGGTTTGTAAGAATTTTTTTAAACAAAACAGAAATCACAGTGACCAGGGGTAATGCGAGTCTGTGCCTTCCTTGCCCGTGCTGCTCCCTATGGCTCTCGGTGGGGGCTAAATGATGCGCCACTGCATGATGCTCGTGTCCTTCCCGCCCGTGGAGATGAGGTGGCTGTCTTCACAGAGGAAACTGACGTTGGTGACGTGGCTGCTGTGCCCGCCGTAGATGTGGCTTGGAGCCTGGAGGAGAATGATATGGGGAAAGTTTCCTTTACTACAAGGCAGACCGTCTGTAATGGGAAGTGCTTGAATTCTCACTGCATGCCTTAATTCCTTTACTCTCCCTTCACTCGGCAGCTGTCACTTGGGCACCTGCTCTGTGCAGGACTCAGAAGGGACACAGAAACAAACCCACAGTCCTTGTGGACAGAAACGAGCAAATAACTGCCCTCGGCCAAGTGATACGTTCAGTATCAGAGGTGCCAGGTATGAGTCACCCCAAAGGCGGGCCTAACCAGATGCTGGCTGAGGGTGAGGGGTCTCCTTGTTGAAGGGGGATCAGGGTAGGGTCATGGAGGATGAGGAAGGGCGGTCCCAGGCCTCAGGGCTGGCTCAGCTCAGCAGTGCCGGAGCAAGGGAGACGTGGTGGAGGGCAGAGGCATGAGCCCGTGGAGCTGCAGAGGTAGACGAGCAGATGAGAGTCTCGGGGTTTCCCTAAGGGTGGCCAGAAGTGCTGAGAGCACGGATAGCGGAGTCACATCCGCATCTGTGGCTGGCAGCACTCACAACCCATTTCCATTTAGTCTTCAAACAGGTCAGGCATGCGTGCATGCCCAACGGGGGATGAGATTAGTGAGGGAACAGGCCCTTTACCCTGAACTGCGAGCAGGGATATGAGAAGAGGTGCACTTTGCCAAAGTCGTCGCCTGTGGACAGGAGTTTTTTCTCATGGGCCCGGCAGACGGCATTGATGTCAGTTCCGTCCGAGCCTTCTGGCCACACTCCTAAAACAAAGACCACAAACAGAGCGCTGGAAATACCAGGGGACACAGGGTACATCGCACAGGAACTGGCTGCCGTACTGTCCTGAACATAAAACTGCCTCAAGTCCAGCTTTAGAAACAAGGGTCAAAACAACAGTCATCTCGGCTCCGGGCTTCTCCCTGTGCGCCCAGCATTGCTCAAGCGGTCTTGGGAAACCCTCCAACGCTCACTGCATGGGAGCAGGACGATGGGCTTTTCGGGTTGCTGTCTTTGGAGGGCCCTTCCTGAGACCAGGGCAGCCAGGACCAGGAGCCGGTTCTCAAGGCGCTGCCCCTCCTTCATCTCTGAAGCATCTTGGGAAGCTGCCCTGTCCTCACGCCCGCAGTTCCTTGTTCCTGTCGTAACTCTACATGTGCGGGTCTCTCCAAAGGCCTTTTAACCCTGGCTCTGCGCACGTTTCTTGGGGTCACTCCCTGTGGCTGCTGCTTGCCTGGGGCAGCTTGGCAGTGGTGGCCATCGTTACTGGCTGCAGGCTCTGCAGCCCTGAGCCCAGGTAGGCCTGGAGGATGGGTGGGTGGGGGACACCATCTTCTGACCATTGTCAGGGAAACCCTTTGCACAATACCTGTGGCTAGGAGAAGGCTGGATACACATGGGTTTTCGACTGGGAGCTCTGGAGTGAACCTCCAGACCTCAGCACTAAATACCAGAAAATACCGGCCAATTCTCACCAATGTACTGACTTGTGCTCTTTTATAGATGATAAACACTGTCTTTAAAAATTTTATTAATTTGTGGCCCTTTAATTTAGGTCACTTATGAATATATTCCTAAGGTGACCTTTGAAGAAAGTAAAATGTTTAGTTTAAGAACCAAAAAAATAGAAATTAAAAACCCTCACAAATGGTAAGTAAGTTGACTGAGCACCATCTGGTCTACCCAGGTCCGTGTGGCACAACCTGACAGAAGAGGGTTCCAGGGAATTATCTCAGGACCCGCCGCGCTGTACGCTGGAAAAGGGTTAAAAACTCATCTCTCTGGTTTTTCTCAGCGGGCCAAGCCCTGGCCCTCCCCCAGGGAGCAGCGGGAGGCACATCTTACGGGGCTCAGGTAGCAGCAGAGCAGTCTGACAAGACTGGCGACTATGAGACTCCAAAGCTGCTGAAGACATGTTTTAAAAGGATATTATGTTGGAACCCAGTGAAATCTGCAGAAAACTTACCAAAAACATGGAATCCCAAAGTGCAGGTGTAGGTGGCCCATTCGATGTCTCTTGTAGTTTCCACACTTACAACTTGTTTACAGGCAGAGGGAACCCCTGCAAAAAGCAAATGCAGTCTGGCGACATCGAAGCTGAGGCCTCACCCCTCCCCCGAGCAAGGCTGAGCCCCCAGAGCTGTGCCCCGCTGGGTACAGAGCCCTCCCTGGAGAGGGAGACCCTCTACTTCCCAGTTGGGTGGGAACCGTGTGCACAGCTGTGAGCTCGCCTGGAATGGAGCCTGAACCCTGGGCCTGGGTGGAGACGCGTTCTTCTTTGTTTTTTCCCCATCTCCGTCTCTGAGTCTGTTTCCCATGGTCTGGCTTTCTTGTCTCCGGTTCCTGGGTCTCCGCCTGCCACCTGCCCCACCAGAACCCCTGAACACAGCTCTGCCCCTGCTGTCAGGCCCCCCAGCCTCCCTGTACCGCAGTCTCTTCAGCTCAGAGTCAGGAAAGGAGGTTATGGAAAGCAGTCACATCAAGGGCCTAGAGCCTCCCAGGGGACTTGTGTGTTCCCCAAATGAGCTCTCACCAGCAGAGTATGAGACTGGATCTGAGAAGGTTCTAAACCCAGGGACTGTCCCTGAAAACCATCCCCTGTCCCTGTGCCTGTGTCAAGCAGGACCTGGACAGGGAGCAGGTGAGATGGTACAGCTGCCCTCCCCACTGGAGCGAGCTAAGCCTCGGTACACACCGCCCCGGCTTTTCCTGCCATTCGTGGTCCTGCTTGTCCTGGTTGGTGAGTACCAGCCATGATTATCCTTGCTGTTCCCAGGCACTGCCTGGGCCCAGAGACTGGCCAGGGTGGGGTTGGGAGAGAAGGAGGAGGAGAAGGAGGAAGGGTCCAAGGGCTGCTGTCTACCCAGGTGGGAAGGATTTCGTGGTCCCTCCCATGAGGATAACACCGTCCAAGCCCTCCTCGTGCCTGGACAGCTCTGGACCCACCCTCTTCTGCCACATCAGCCCACCCCCAGCCTCCCGCTGCAGGGATCCAGGCCCTGCACCTTCTCCTCCACAGGGGCTCACAGTCGGCAGGAAACTGGGAAGGACCCAAGAGGCCATGCAGCCCCATTCCTCAATGTTACAGAGGAAGAAACCATGGCCTAGAGATGATGGCCCTCACCTGTCATGTGGGAGGTGGGTTTTCAGAGGCCCCTGAGTCTCTGAGTGAACACTTTATGAGATTGAGACTTCATACAATCCGGGGGTGGTACTCACAGTAGAGGATTTCGTAGTCTCCGGAATTTGACACGAGGAATTGCGAGTTTACTGACCAGTCCAGGTGAGTAATGAAGCTGGAATGACCCTGGGAGAGAACAACACTGTCTTCACTTCACTGGCCTTAGAAGTCCCTACCAACACCGTTCCGCTGTGGTTAAATGAATGCACGCAGGTGCATGAGAGGCAGCAGGACCACTGTCGATGCTTACCGAGCACTTGCCCACACGCGTGTACTTCCTCCCGTTGTCACTAACGCCATAGATATAGATGCAGTTGTCATGCGAGCCTATGGCTAAGAAACTCCCATCTACAAAGAGAGGACAAATTACATTTCAGAGGTGAAAAATACACATTTGTTACAAAGGATAACGGTAGCTGCCACCATGGATTTAGACAGAATCACCAGATTAATGAATTATTTCCAAGAGAAAAATCTGGTTTTGAATGAATTCTCTGCCACTTCCTAAGCTATCTTTTGAAAAATACATACCTGGCCAGATGACAAAATCTGGTAAAGATTGAGACATTTTTTATGAACTTTTAAATTTTTTTGAGACAGGGTTTTGCCGTCATAGGCTGGAGGGCAGTGGTGTGATCGTAGCTCACTGCAGCCTCAACCTCCTGGGCCCAAGTGATCCTAGGGAGGTAGCTGGGACTGCAGGCATGCAGCATGACACTCAGCTAATTTTAACTTTTTTTTTGTAGAGTTGGGGTCTCACTGTGTTGACTAGGTTGGTCTTAAACTCCTGAGCTCAAGTGATCTGGCTGCCTTGGCCTCCCAAAGTGCTGGGATTACAGGCGTGAGCCACTGTGCCCTATGAACTCTTTTCATACAATTTTATCAAATCTTATGAAGCCCTTCCCTGTCCCAATCACGGAAGGATGGAGGAGCCCACAAAGCCCACCGGGATGGCCTTCCAGCACCTCACTCCTCACTGAGCACACGGGTTCCCTCAGGCCTCTGCACTCACCGCCCCCTTCCTGGACGGCCCTTCCTGCCTCTCTTCCCAGGTGTATCTTGGTATCTTCTCCCACTAGGTTTCTGGTTCTGGGAGGGCCTAAGGACCCAGGCCTTGATGCTTGTGTGGAAACACACGGGAAGGAGCCCTTTGCAACAAAAGGCAGCAGCAGCCCCAGTGGCTGGAAGTGACCATGCACGCCACGCAGGGAGGAGGACCCAGGACAGGAAACAGGACCTGGAGGGGAGTCTGGCAAAAGGTCCGACTTTCCTGAGCCAGCAAGCAAACAGAAGGACTGGAAACCTGGAGGCAAGCTGGGCCCAGAACAGAATGCAGGGTAGAAGGGCTCTCTCCGCTCCAGCTAGGGGACTGCAGGTCCTCCATCCACAAACACAGTGAGCAGCGCATTTTCATAGTCGGGAGGCTTCACTTGGACAGTATTTGTACAGGGTTTTGCGCTCACAGGCACGTCAAGCGTTAACAAGGGCTGTTTCTCTCCTCCCTCTTTCCTGTGATTTTCCTTCTCCGGACCCAGGGTGGCCTGGTGCCTCAGGGAATGGCATTTTAGGAAGTGATGGCCTAGGCCAGGTCAAAATAGGGGTGACCTGTACAAATCAAGAATCCTGAAGGAATGGGGCAAATCCACATTTTTTGCTGAAGAAAACAAAAAGGACTGCTGAAGCCAGAGACGGGCCATCATCGGCTGCTGATGGGGCTGGAGAAGGACAGGTAACCATGCCAGAAACCAACTGTCCCTGGGCTCAGTGCCTGCAACTGACCATGCCCGGACAGCAACAGTGATGACAACCACAATCAACACAAAATGCTACTAACAATGACCACTTAATTTTACTAATTACAATCATTAAATGGCGTGTGAGTGCGTGCATGTGTGCGTGTGTGTGTGTGTGCGTGTGTGTGTTCTGAGATGGAGTTTCACTCTTGATCAGGCTGGAGTGTAATGGTATGATCTCAGCTCACTGCAACTTCTGCCTCCTGAGTTCAAATGATTCTCCTGCCTCAGCCTCCTGAGTAGCTGGGATTATAGGAACACACCACCATGCCTGGCTAATTTTTGTATTTTTAGTAGAGATGGGGTTTCACCATGTTGGCCAGGCTGGTCTTGAACGCCTGACCTCAGGTGATCCACCCCCGTCGGTCTCCCAAAGTGCTGGGATTACAGGAGTGAGCAACCGTGCTTGGCTTGGCCGACACATCTGAAAACCTACTATGTGCTAGGTCCAATTCTAAACTCCTGTGTTAACTTACTTAATCCTCAAAACAACCTCATGAAGTAGATATAATTATCCCCATTTTTCAAGAGAGGAAAGTGAGGCATGTACAATTAAGTAACTCGTCCAAGGTTGCACAGGTGTCCTGAAGCTTGCTTAAATCCAGGCAGTCTGACTCCAGGGGCACTGCTCCTCTGACCTGCTTTAGGGTAAAGAACAGCTGAAAATATGTCACGTGACACATCAGGGTGTTGGCTGTCTACTCTTAAGCAAAAAATCATCTCAAAAGACTACCTGATCAGGCCAGGTGCAGTGGCTGATGCCTGTAATCCCAACACTTTGGAAGCCCGAGGCAGTCAGATCACCTTAGGTCAGGAGTTCAGGACCAGCCTGGCCAACATGATAAAACCCCATCTCTACTAAAAATAACAAAAATTAGCTGGAAGGGGCACACCCCTGCTGCCCTAGCTACTTGAGAGGCTGAGGCTGGAGAATGGCTTGAACTCGGGAGGCGGAGGTTGCAGTGAGCTGAGATTACGCCACTGCACTCCAGCCTTGGCGACAGAGCAACACTCTGAAAAAATAAAATAAAATTACTACCTGATCATTTGTGAACTCAAAAATAATGAGGCCTCTTTCATAATGGAACCATTTGTTTTGTTTTGTTTTGTTTCCTGAGATGGGGTCTTGCTGTGTCACCCAAGCTGGAGTGCAGTGGTGCGATTCCTGCTTACTACGAACCTCCTTGACTCCTGCCGTGGTCTCCAGAGTAGCTGGGACTACAGATGTGTGCTACTGTGCCCAGCTAATTTTTTGATTTTTTTGTTGAGATGGGGTCTCACTATGTTGCCCAGGCTGGTCTCGAACTCCTGGGCTCAAGTAAAACTTCCTTGGCCTCCCAAAGTTGGGGATTACAAGTGTGAGCCACTGCGCCCGGCCATGATGGAACTATTTGCTATTTAAGAAACAGGTTTAAGGCAACTGGTTAACTATTTAAGGAAAAAATACATCCTCCCCCAAAAAAGTTCATTTAAAAATCAACTTTGAGGCACTATTTTCATGCAGTAAAATGCACACATTTCAAGTGCATGGTTTGAGGAGTTTTAACAACTATTACCTGCGTAACCACCAACAAATACACCTGTGTAACCACCATCCCTATATCTGTTGTTTGTTTGTTTTGTTTTTTTGATACAGTCTTGCTTTGTTGCCCAGGCTGGAGTGCAGTGGCACAATCTCAGCTCACTGTAACCTTTGCCTCTTGGGTTCAAGTAATTCTCCTGCCTCAGCTTCCTGGGTAGCTGGAATTACAGGCACCCACCACCATGCCTGGCTAATTTTTTTGTATTTTTAGTAGAGATGAGATTTCCCCATTGGCCAGGCTGGTCTCAAACTCCTGACCTCAGGTGATCCACCCTCCTCAGTCTCCCAAAGAGCTGGGATTACAGGTGTGAGCCACTGCACCCAGCCCTCATATCTGTTTTGAAAGATGAATGAAACCCAGGACTTCACAGTCTCCCTCAGCCATCCACTTCTGTCTCTGACAGCCTCAGTCAGATTATAGTTCCTCTTTCCCATTCTAATCCACAGTCTTCATGCAGGAGATGAAGCTCACTTCTGCCTGGGGAAGTCCTCCCTGCAGAGGGGAATCAGCTGATCATATCATCCACAGCCCCAGGCCTCTGCACAGGCATGGAGAGCTGTCCCAGGAGGCCCTCAGCCTCCCTGTGGACAACTCTGACCAGCCCACCCCACCCAGGTCTCTGCATCCTTAGCACACACCCGCTAGTGCTGCCTCACCCCTTGCAGGTGATGTGGAAACGGGCAGTGACTCAGAGACAGAGGCGGAGCTAGGAGAACGTTCCCTTCCTTGGAGGTGGGGCCTCCCAGTCCGTCCCCTGTTCCCCGACACTACCACCACAAAAAACCTCGAAACGACCCCTCCATTGACCATGACGACTGCCTGGGAAGATAGCAGTGTGAGGATGAGAATGTGGGCTTTGAGGTCAGAAATGTGGGCTTTGGGTTCAATCTGAGCTCTTTTACCCACATTAATCCATAAATATATAAAACCAACTGCCTAAGAAATCAAAACCAACCAGTATTTGTCAATATGCTAACCAGAGACCAGATGAAACCCGGCACAGCCTGGTTCTTGGGTCCCACAGAGCCCTTTTTCTTTCCCTAATTGTCTTCCTCTCCTCCAAAAACTCTCTAAGCCTCACTCCCCAGCTCTCTCTGAGACTGAGATTCCTAAACTTACTCCACTGAAATAAGCTAGTATTTGGCAGAAAATGAAAATCAGCTGGAGAATTCATAAAGACAAGGAGCAGGAGTCTAGGTGCTCAGAGGGGAAGGACAACCTTATGGCTGTTTCCTACTGATCGTTCACTCTTCACCAGGCTGGAGGCTGGGGGCTTCAGGCAAGCCCAGCAGCGCCTCAGCAGACGGTTCAATTAGTTTTGCTCTGCAGGATGAGGAAACTGAGGCTCAGTAACTTGTGTACAGCAACATGGCCAGGTGAATGGCACAGGCAGAAATCACTGCATGAGTGGCAAGTACCTGCATGCTGACGAGTGACATGTGGGTGGACGACAGCCTGCAGGTGCAGGAACAGCCGTGCCACTATGGTGCAGCCTCTCTCCCGGCACACTGGGCACTGGAATTTTGGGCTTGGAGACAAGACTGCTGCATCTGGATGGGGATTGGCCCAGGGAGGGTGGATGCCACATGGGAGGGGAAAGGGCTGGCTGGATGGCAGGGGCTGCATCACCACTGGTCTCAGACTCAGGCTGACAAGGGGGGATTTGATACTGCAAGTGATGGAGTGAATGCCAGATTCGGATTCATTCCAGTAAAAGCAGAAAAAACCCACCTTTCAAACAATACATGGGTAAGATCAAAGAAGAGAAATATGATTGCACAACCAGTTGCACCTGATCCTTTCTGGTCTTCTCTCTTTCATCTTCACATTCTGATTTTTCCATGAGCTGAAACTAGAACAGGAGGACTGAGGATCTGCAGCTGGGCTTAATGAATAGGAAATTATTTTCTTCCTATTTCTGTTCTTTAAAAAAGTACAATCTTGACTGAGCATGGTGGCTCACGCCTGTTAT